AATATATATAGTATTTGATACTGGCTTAGCATTCGATAATTAATGTAAAAGCTAAGATGAGGAGAGAAGAATGGTGATACCTGAACCTCACTTAAAAACGTGTTAGCTTTCCTTAAATGGCATCAGATCAGATGTATCTATTAACGATATTTATTCACTCATACGGTTTAGATCTCAACACTTGAGAGCAGAATTAACTTTTAAGATTTTCCTTTTAAAAGTACATGCACGCTAGATTTACTTGATCAGATTTGGAAAAATGCTAAAATGTACACTGGGTGTAATGTAATTTCTATTTGTTTACACTTTTTAGTGTACAAAGCAGATGTTCTCAGAGAAGTTTGGCAGAGGATCTCGGACAGTGGACCTAGAACTGGAAGCTCAGATTGACGTGTTGAGGGATACCAAGATCAAGTACGAAAACATTCTAGGACTGGCAACAGCGCTCATCACTCACTTTCAAAACATGGTGCAAACGCAGCAGGCTCTAGGTGATACTTTCACCGACCTGAGCCAGAAGTCACCAGAGTTGCAGGTAAAGTACTGACAGAACTCATTGTGTGAATTGTGTGGAGTTTACAGGTAAAACTTGAGTATTTCTCTGCAGGATGAATTTGGGTACAATGCAGAAACACAAAAGCTGCTGTGTAAGAATGGTGAAGCTCTGCTCGGTGCCATCAACTTCTTTGTGTCCAGTGTGAACACCTTGGTCAATAAAACAATGGAGGACACTTTGATGACTATCAAACAGTATGAAAATGCAAGGTGAGACATCCTGACGTCTTGTTTGGGAGTTAAAGAATAGTAGTTTATTCTGTAAACATCTATTTTTGACTTCACCTGTTGATGTGCGCAGACTTGAGTTTGATGCATACCGTTCTGATCTGGAGGAATTAAGCTTGGGTCCGAGGGATGCGGCTGCCATGGTTCGCATTGAGATGGCTCAGCATGAGTACCAGCACCACAGAGATAAATATGAAAGGCTTCGTAGTGATGTCTCCATCAAACTGAAATTCTTGGAGGAAAACAAGGTTTGTTTTACAAACATGTTATTTTTCAATTCTATTTCTATGCAGCTTTGGAAGTTTAATGGCAAGCCTTGGGTATACTTTGGTATTAAAGTTACTATTTATCATACTCTGCATACTTAAAAATGTTTGGGGACTAAACAGTTTTTCAGCCACACAGACTGCTTGTTAGAAACATCAATTTGAATAAAATTGTTTAACCTAAAAAAAAACCACTTTAGTTTTCAACATTTTATAAGTCTTTATAATTACTTGTTTTGAAAATATCTTTGTAACCCTTTTAAATTCCCATCATGCTTCAGTGATCACCCCATGACATCACTTTTAGTTGTGGTTCCAAATACAGAGCAGCACAAACGTGACCACACCCAAACTCCGAGATCCTCTAAGCTTGATGTGGTCTGAGGTGAAACGATCTTATCGTTTTTAATCAGACAGTACAATAAAGCTGTGTTTTGTTTTTCTAATTATTATTGCTTAAAATAGTGTTGCAATTTTTTTCAGAAAAATATCAAAAACGACTTGTGAAGTTTTATTTAGATCACATCGAGCTAGTGGTAATGTTGTTTTGCTTCCTCTCACCACATTGATTTTTTAGGCAGAACCTTGTTTGCTGTGTTAAATAAGCATTGTACTACATGCAGAAGTCCAGACATAATATTTGTTTAGGAATGACTGACAGATTTTAAAATGGAAACTTTTGTTTAGTCGTAAAAATATTATTTTCTATCAGCTTTTCCATTATTTTTGTCCGCCAGCAACCAATGTTTCTATTTACTTTTTGCTTAAGCATAAAAAGATATGCCTAAACTGTTCCTTTAAATTGTATTGTATTTTTAACAAGACAATTTTTCCCTCCCCCTCCCCCTTTTTCTTTTTAGGTTAAAGTGATGCACAAGCAGCTGCTTCTCTTCCATAATGCAATCTCAGCTTACTTTGCTGGCAACCAGCAGCAGCTGGAACAAACTCTAATACAGTTCAACGTAAAGTTAAAGCCTCCAGGGTCGGACAAACCGTCCTGGCTGGAGGAGCAATAATGAGCACCTGGGTTCAGCTACTTCTACCGTGGTACATCAGCTAAAAGCGTAACATTGTGGTTAGATGGGCAAGAATGAAATGCTTAAAGACGTTTTTTTGTAGGATCGGTAGAATTCAGAGATAAGTATTTTTAAATGTTTGTTTCATCATTGTTTATTATAGACATGAAATTATTGTTATTTTTATTTTTTGTAAATCAGGTATCACCCATGCATCTATTCTTTACCCGCTTCTCCTTTTCAGGTTGCGGGGAGCTGGTGTTTCTCTCCAGTAGATATGAGTTTTTTTTTTTTCTATTTTATTATTAGTACAATAATTTACTTGTTTATCATTCATTTATGTACAAGATTGTAGTTTAGTGTGGAGATCCACTTTGGCTGTTTTGCACATCTTTTTTTTATGTTGCCTAAAGATACAGTATATGTTCCAGTGTAGGTCAAGTATTGGAATACCGCTGGTGTTATGATATATAAAAAAAAGTCTTTAATTTCTGAACAATTTTCTTCATATTTTTGCAAATATTAAGGTAAAAATATCAGGATATTGCATCATTGTCAAAACAAACCCAATCTGTTTTTAACTGTCTTGTTGTGAATTACCTGCCTGATTAGCCATTTTAATGATTAGAGGAAAATATAGGGAATATAGTGATTTTCTTTAATCTTATATACATTCACAAATTATTTAGTCTTATAAATTTTGGCTACTAAAGATACAGTATATATTACAATTCCAGCACTATTTCGAGTATGTCTTGTTATATAGTTTATTTGATATTTTTTACTTCTTCTGAGTACACACAGAATTTATCCTAAAGTTAAATGTTACATCTACAGTATGGTTTACAGTAATTCACATCAGCGCATATGTCTGATGCTTTAATACTAAGTACAAAGATCTCACTTAATGTACACAATCAAAATGTGGTACAAAACAAGTTTATTTTTGACTGTGGTATAATAGGAGGTGCCAGTGTGTAACCTGACAGGCTTATTCTTGGAGTCTCAAACTGTAAAACCCAAATTACAGTAAACGAGTAACACCACATGCACTTTAGATTATAACACCAATGTCAGTGTCTCTTTCAGCACTGAATGTACAGAGTACTTCTTTCATGTTTTGTTATTTATCTTGTTTGTAACATACCAGATTTCTTTGAGGATGTAGTCAGCTGATTGACTTTTTCTTGTTCTGCATTTGCAATAAAGTGCTTGTCGTTACATTCCACTAAGTCTCATGTGATAGTAATATTAACAGCATGTAAAAAAAAGTATCTACCTTTGTGATAATTCAAAATATGCGATTTCAGTTGATTTTTCCTTAAAATCACTAAACTGTGATCTAGCTAAACCTACGTAAATTCAACTACTGCACCAAA